CTGTGTCTGACACTGAGCATCCATCAGAGCCTTCCCCAGGCCCCAGAACTGGCCCAAGTTCTTCCCCAACCTCCTCATTGTCCGAGTCTGCTGACAGCTCTGCTGGCAGTTGGCAGGCCACAACAATATTGAGAAATGCCACTTCAGATTGCAAAAGACACTAAGTGAAACAGAGAAAAAGAACAACTAATGGATGATTGCAGTGTAAATATTAGAGAAACGAAGAACTCAAGGCAAGGATGGTTTGAATTGGGTAAAGGTCCAGAGAGTTTTAAAAAGAGAATTTCTTGTTTATTGCTAACACCTGTTTCAAGACACATAAACACAGATTCTACAAGTGACATCACCAGACATGCAACATTGGAATCAAATTGGCTACAAATAGGAAACAGAAGATCGAGCAGTGTAATCCAGTCAGCATGCATGCTTACAGGTGCATTGGAATGAAATGGACTGTGAATTATTGATGTCAAATATGCGGGTTAAACTTGGGAAAGTGTAAACAATGTCACCTGTGCCAAGAAAATTTGACCTCAAAGACCTAACAGTCAGAATTTCAGATCAAGGTAAGGAACAGATATAGTGCATTTCACATATATAAAAGAGAAGCCCAGAAGTCACAGGATGAGGTAAAAGGCAAGAAAACCAAAACAGTCAAAAAATACACCTTCCTCGAATGTGAGAGAGAGAGAGAGGGAGGGAGGGAGGGAGGGAGAGAGAGAGAGAGTCTTTCAGCTATCGTGATGCCCAATGAAAGACAAAAAGAGAAACACAAAGGAGAAATATAAGAAATGAATTCAGACTTCAAGTGCTATCTTGAAAAATCCAGAAGGCATCAAGAATATCAACGCATAAAAAGATAAGGAGGAAAATGGGGATTTTGTTTAAAGGAGATCAGAGGAATCAAAGAAATCTACACTTAACGTGGGCTGCTCAAGTAACCATGGATGGGATCAAAAAGATCGAAGGGAGAGGGAAAGACTGTCCTGAAATCCTTTTATGATGACTTAATGGAGTGACGGAAATTTTGTGAAGAGAAAATGAGGAGGGGGAGAGGTAGATACGTAGATAGATGATGGAGGGGATAGATAGATAGATAGATAGATAGATAGATAGATAGATAGATAGATAGATAGATAGATAGATAGAT